ATAAATTTGCCTTGCAATAATACTTTGCAAACTCTAACATTTTGGAATGCTTTTCGTGCAAATAACTTGATTTTCGGTGGAATGGCTAAAATGTAAAACAGAGCAAAAAAATAAATATTTTAATGTTAAAAAAAAAGTATTAGCGCAAAAAATTTACTCTAAGACGTCGGACATTGTTGTTAAGAATTTATGATAAAATAAAGCATCACAAACCTTAGCGATGCTCATTTTTCGTTGCTTTACAAGGTTGCCAGTATAGTCTTTCTTATAGTAACCTTAAATAATCGAAGAAAATGAAAAGTTTTGTTCAAAAGAAATGAAAAATAAATGCGTAACTAATTATTTGTTACCATATAGATCATGTATATTTGCCACTGCCAGCTAGCAACATATCGCCGCTCTCAGCAGCGTCAATAAATCGTGTATGTAAATTAAAATCAATTAATAATATTTTTTCTTTCGTACAAAATGTACTGTAACGATTTTGCTGAATCAACCTCGATGATTTTCTGAATCCTTCGGGTACGATCTCAGGATTTTTAAATAAAAAAATCGCCAACTTAATTTGCAGTTTCTTTCGTTATAAAGAATTTATCTAATGTCCTTTATTTACTCAAAAATTCACAATTCAATTACAATGTACTTTACTAGCTACAATCACTTATATAAGACTTTCACAATTCATTTTACTTAAATGTAATCTCCAACGCGTTTACTTCACGACTCTATACAGATGTTGTCGCCAACGAGTTCTCTTTGTAACTAACTTCTTGGCAGCTGAGTGTCGCCCTTATATAGCAGTCGGCTGCTCGTAGACGAAAGTCGTCCCGATCAGATACATTCGCTGTTCCAAACTCAGCAAGCCTCTCAAGGTGGACCACTTTCATCTTGTTTCTTGATACACTATGTCGTTTAGTCGTTTGATTATCTTGTATGGACCTACCCAATTACATTGAAGTTTTGGGGACAAACCCTTCTTCCGTTGTGGATTGTACAACAACACCAAATCTCCATTTTGGAA